GGGAGCGGGGTCTGGGCCCGGGTCTGGGCCCGAACGGGGACCGCGAGTGCGGTTCGGGCCCAGCCCCACAGGTAACCGGTGCTCCCCCGCCCCGCTCCTGCCCACACTCCCCCGAGGCTCCGCTGCGGCGGGGGCGGCGCTTTGGGTTCGAAAACGTGAATTGGGACGCGCGAGGGGCGTGTGCGGGGAAGGCACCTGCTGGCTCTGTGGGGAGCTCCCGGGCTCGCCCTGTCGGCACCTCCCTGTGCCCTCCGGGCTGTGCGGGGTTTCTGCTGGCAGTCGTGTTCCCTGGGACGTGCCGGCCCACAAGGGGTTTCCAGGTCACTTCAGCGAGTTCGTTCCTGGAAGGAATTACCCAAAAGTCCTTTCCATAGCTAGGGCCCCCGGAGCTGTGTCTGTGCGGTGCAGCTCTGGCCCCGGTAACCTTCGGGACCCACTGCCATCGCAGGCAGCATCCATCGCCCTTCCAGCTCACGTTTAGAACTCTCCCCTGGACCTTCTTTGTGACCAGCTCCTCTGATTTCCCCGCGATTACAGGTTTTCTGCATTTGGGTGGCCTTCGGACTGCTTTGTACAATTATATCTTTGCCAAAAAGCACCAAGGGACCTTTATTTTGAGAGTGGAGGATACAGATCAGAATCGGGTGGTGCCCGGAGCTGCAGAAGGAATAGAAGATATGTTGGACTGGGCAGGTATTTAGAAACATCTTTCGTTTTTCACTTACTGAACGCTTCTCTTTTAGAGATGAACAGCACTCACACTGAGGCGGGTGTGACTCTGCCTTTGTGGGGGCTGTTGTGATGGCCCGGCTGTTCAGTCCTGCTGTGCTGCTGTTCCAGGTATCCCCCCTGACGAGAGCCCGTGCCGAGGTGGCCCCCGCGGTCCGTACGTGCAGTCGCTGCGGCTGGAGCTGTACCGAGGTGCCAGCGCGGCGCTGCTGGAGAGCGGGGCTGCCTATCGCTGCTTCTGCTCCCCCCAGCGCCTGGAGCTGCTCCGCAGGGAGGCCCTGCGCTGCCAGCACACCCCGCGGTACGAGCCCCTGCCCCCGGGCACCCTGTGGGCTGCCCGAATTGCAGTCGTGCAGCAATGGGGTTGTGTGTCACTGCCGGTGGAGAGACAAACCTGTGTCACCTTCAGAGGCTTCGGGGAGTCCCGAGATGAGGTGTTTGACTGGACACGTGCTGGGCAGGTTACAGCTGAAATTCAGGGATCGGTGTAGGGTTTGGGGAATGTAAAAATGACTGATGGGGTTGGCCTGTTCTGAACCGAGACTGTTGTTCTCATCTCCCAAAGATATGACAACCGGTGTCGGCACCTGACACCCGCAGAAGTGGCCCAGAAGCTGTCACAGGGCCTCGACTACGTTGTCCGCTTCCGGCTGGAGAAGGGCGTGGAACCCTTCCAGGACCTGGTCTATGGCTGGAACAAGCACGAGGTGGCTGAGGTGGAAGGTGACCCTGTGATTCTCAAAGGGGACGGGTTCCCCACGTACCACCTGGCAAACGTGGTGGATGACCACTACATGGGCATCACCCACGTGCTGCGCGGGACCGAGTGGCTGACCTCGACCTCCAAGCACCTGCTTCTCTACAAAGCCTTTGGCTGGGAGCCCCCCCAGTTTGGGCACCTCCCACTGCTGCTGAACAAGGACGGTGGGAAGTTGTCCAAGAGGCAAGGGGACATCTTCCTGGAGCGCTTTGTTCGGGATGGCTTCCTGCCAGAGGCACTGCTGGACATCGTCACCAACTGCGGCTCGGGATTCACAGGTAACACCACAGGCTCCTGCTTGCCAGGTCACTTGGTGCTGACTTTGGCAATGGGTTGGGTTTATTTTAATAGCTAAGAACTTTGTCAGTGTTTGAAGGGATGAGGAAAAGGGTGCCAGTGACCAGTCAACACTGAAATGCCACCAGGGCTTCTGCAAAGCTCCTGTGAAAGGAGCTGGAATGGTGGAAATCTCTCTGCCTCTGTGCAGCCTTTTAAATTGAGTCTGGTGCCTAATGGGTTCCCACCTGGGACAACCCTCACCTCGAGGCGGAAAAACTGTCTGTGAACTCTTGGGAAAACTTGTATGCCGTGGGTAACAATTGCAGTGCTGTCTAACATCTGCCCCACTTGTTTAACCTGACAGGCCACGAAGAGCTGAGTCAGTCTCCTTTTGTGGCTCTTGCTGTGTGGGGATCACAAATTAACTCATGTTTCGGGAGCTCTGCTTGGGAGTGAAATCTTCCTTGGGCAGTGAAGTCTTCTGGCTGAGTGTTACTTCTCTTTGTCTGACTGAGGCAGGGGGTGTTCTGCTGAGGAAGGCAGCGGAGCCAAGTGGAATGTCCCATTTCCCAGTGCCTCACCAGCAGCTGGCAGCATTCATGTGTGCCTGCTGCCAGCTCCCTCCTGCCTGCCAGGGGTGTCCCTGCTGCTGCTGGCACTGCACAAGTGGCTGTCCTGTGTCCCCTTTCCTGGGCGATGCTGCTGCCCCAGCCTGAGGCCTGCGGTGAGAAGGAGTGGGAGAGGGGACCTGTGTGATTCCCTTTGGGTTCTGTTGCAGAGAAGCAGATGGGGAGGACTTTGGAAGAGCTGATCTCACAGTTTGAAATAGGCAGAATTACCACCCATTCTGCCCTCCTGGATCTTGAAATGCTCCCAGAATTCAACAGGTAAAAAATCAGTGGTAGCTTTTAAATGTAGTGAACAGCACATCAGTGAGAATTTATTCCTAGCACTTAGCTGTGGCTGGAGGTTTTGTTTGTGAGATCAAGCATGGTCTTGAAGCAGCAGCTTTTGGGCTGTGCTACAGGGAAGTATAAGTTTGTGCTCGCACCATTTCTTCCTCCTCTTGGGTCCTGTGCTTGGACACTGGTGTTGGGAACACCGTGAAAGGCTAGGGAGAGGGGGGGTGTAGCTGGGAGGATGCAAAATCTTTAGTTTCAAAATAACATCTAAGAAGAGATAACACTTCCAGAAGGTTCTTCTGCAAGTACACTCGTGCTGCTGGGACATTGTGCTGCTGAGAGTGGCCTCATGTTCAGTTCACTGTGGGGCACCAGAGCTAAATGTTTCATTGTAGAAATGGATGTGGTTTAATGTTGTTTTTCTAACGGTTCCACAGTTTTAGCTGGTAAATGTGGTTGGGGTGACTAGATCAAATCTAACCCAAAGCAGTCCAAAAACAGGTTTCTTCTCTGTTGCAGGATTCACCTCACCCGTCACATCGAGAACGAGGGGCTGCGCCAGAGGCTCGTTAGGGAGCTGCAGGAGCTGGTGAAGCAAATCTACGGGGATCAGCAAGTGGATCCAGAGGTTCTGGAAAAGGAATACGTGGAGCGAGTCCTCCTGCTGAGAAAAGTATGAGCAGTGATAGCACTGTGTCACCATTCTGGAGCTGAGGTGGTGTGGGATTCCTGGATGGGGCTCTGCTGTGGCACAGCCTGCACACAGCTGTCATGGCCTGCTCCAGTGCTCGTGTGCCAGCTGGCTGCCAAAATACCCTGATACAGGCAGCTGACCCGTGGGAATGGGCCTGGTGAATGTCCTGATGGTCTTTGCAGAGTCATAAGCTCATCCATACCTTGCTGAGCCAGCAGAGAGCTCCCTCATGGACAGACAACATGTCCCTGCTGTGTGAGGGATCATGGAACTGTGAGGGTGCTTTTGAAGACCTCTCTGCTTCCCACTCAGAGCAGAACTGTGGGTAGTGCTGGATCAGGTCAGCTGTGGCTTTGTCTAGATAAGCTGACAGTCTCCAAACCGCTCTTCTCCTGTAGCCCAGGGAGCAGCTGGCTTGGGGCAGGAAGGTCCAGCCCCCAGATCCCTCATGCCAGCTCACCTCTCCCCTTTGCTGACTGGGCAGTGTAAGGTGTTCTGCTTTGCTGCTGCCCTGTGCCTTGGAGGCAGAGTCCTAACAGCCTCTGCTGAGGCAGATGAAGCTGCTGGTGAAACCAGTGTGGTTTGTGTGCTGGGAGCTCAGTGAAGGGGCTGAGTGCTGGCCAGGGAAGGGTGAGCCCAGCTGATCCCAGTCTGCCCCTGGGATGCTGCTGTAGTATCTGGGAGATTCCTTGTGAAGGATGAAGCCCTCTTTGTAGGGGCAGGACGTGACTGTCCCAGCGTGATGGCTGTGTGGTGGCAGTGGGATGGTGACTCATGGCTTCCCACTGCCTGGTGAAGGGGCAGATGAACATAATCAGCCACTTCTCCAGCCAGCTCTGAGTCAGCCACACACGGCTCAGCACCTTGGGGACAACCACAGCCCTCTGAGCTGCCTCTGTGTCCCTGCTCTGAGGGGCTCTGGAGCTGGAAAACTCAGCTGCCTCAATGTCAGCCAGTGACATTTCTGCTGAGCAGCGCGAGGTACAGGGCGCTGGTGTGGGGGGGGTCTCCAGCTTGGTGTGAAGCCCAGGCTGGATGGGTTTGCTTTCCCCACAGTGTAACCCTCTGCCTTGACAGCTTTGCTTTCTTTCCCCAGGGTCACATCAGCCTCCTGAAGAATCTGGTGTCGAGTGATTACTCTTACCTGTGGGTCAGGCCCTCGGTGTCCCGACAGCAGCTGCAAATGATTTCTGCAGAAGTAGATGAAATAGGAAAACTAGTCTCAGGGTAAGTATGCTGCTGCCTCAGCTCCTCATCTCTGAAAATTGTATTATTAAAAAGCAGTCAGAATTCTGCTTTTTCTGTGGTTTTCCAGGTCCTTGGCATAATTTTGTGATTTAAGCTTTCTCTTTTGAATGAGCTCTGCTTCTGGTGAGCAGAGAGCGCACCCTGGCACAGGGATGGTGTGAAGGGTAGAAATCCTGTGGTTTTCTTGTCCTCAGACTGTAAGGACACCTTCTTTCCTAAAGGCTCGTGACAAGGCAGGCAGCTGCCTTGACCGTGGAGGAGTTGAACAAAGACCTGAGAAACCTCCAGAAGCAAACCAGAGAGACCAAGTACAGCAGCATGATGCAGCTCCTCCGCTTGGCACTCAGCGGGCAGCAGGTACAAACAAGAGGTCTGAGAATGGGACCCTTTCCCTTTTTCCCCCCTTTCCTTTTTTGCC